CCTCGTCCGGTCGCTGTGTCGTCCACGTCCGACCGGGCCGGGCGGCCGGACCTGCGGTCGTCTGTCCCCGCGGCTCGAGGCCCCCACGTCCACTCCTGGCGCTTCCTCTGAACTGCCTGCTCAAGTGTTGGGCTTTCGCGTTCAGTCGTGTCCTACTGACCCCTATATTCTGGATATTAACCAGTTTTATTCCCTAAGCATTAAGAGGGACATAAAAGGGGCCGGCAGGTGGCATGGTGGTCAAGGGCGCTGAACCCCACACGGCAGACTCGGGTTCGAGTCCAGGACCTGGCGGCTTGCTTTTTCGCTTTCCTGCTCTCTCCCCGCCCTCTGGTCAAAATTAAAAATAAATAAATGAGGTTAAATAAAAATATAACTAAAAAGGACATAAAAGAGGATGTATACATAATTTATGCACTGTATATATTTATGATGAAACCTGAAAGCAGTATTACAACTGCACATTTAAAGGGGCTTAAGTCTCAAGTTCTATCGAGACACCCTGCAAATAGAAATTCTAAGTTCTCTCAGCAAAACCTAAGAAAGCAGAAAAAGAAAAAGCATTCTAAACATTTCTTCTTGATTGTGGAAAGGGAAAAGTTTAACTAAAGCATCTGGAAGGCGTGGTCTAATTATTTTTAAATTTAGACAGACGTGTATGCAATATACAGTCTAAACTTCAGCAAAATGATTGGCAAAAGAGACAAAAACCAGAAAACCATAGCAAAAGCGGGGCCCTGAGAGCCCAAGGACTACGGAGCCGTCTAAAGACCCACCTTGGACAGCATACCCTGTTCGCTCAAGGACTGATCTTCGAACAGGAATGCACACACAGGAAACCTTGCCCAGGCCTGGGCGCGCCCTGAGGTTTTAAGGAACTCGGTTTCCCAAGCCTCAAGTTTCAGGTCTCCGCCTCCACAGAAGAGCAGTCAACTCCCTCGTGGACCTTCCCTCCTGGCGCAGTGACCGCAGTGACGGGTGGGAAGTCCCAGCCACATTTCATTAATGTGACCAAGTTGCATGTGATGCCTCCCCCAATGGTAATAATCGTCACCCAAAATGGGCTGTCTCTAATCCCCCCAGCTTTACTGTGCTTAGTTGAGGAAGCTTGGCCTTGGGGGTGAGGGGTGGTCTCTAGTCCACTGGTGGGTGTTCTGAATTTATACTAGAAAGTTAATGTTCCTTTTCCCACAAATACAAGTATATGTAATTCTTTTCAGCCAGTCCAATATCTATCCCTAGGACATTAACTCGATGGACATTTTCCATAAATGAAATAAATGACCTGAAATTGCTGCTCCAAGTGTTTTTTATTATTTTTATTTATTTTTATTAAGAGATCTTTGCTATAGGGAGTATGCACTTGCCAGAGAGACAGAGGCATAGAGACAGAAAACAGCTGGGTCCAGGACTTGAACTGCAGTTGACCACATGGGAGTCCAGTGATGTAACCATTATGCCATCTGCTGGCCCCAAGGATGGGCCGTTCAGTAAATCTCTCCTGAGCACAGCCTGGCATCCTCCAGGCCTGACAGACCACGGCCGAGCTCCTGAGCTCCTGTGCAGTTGGTCTGAACCAGGGCCCACACTCCAGGTCTGCACTGCAAGAGCACGCCGACCCGGAAGGAGCAGATCAAGACCCACGAGTCCTTGGAGGTCTGACTCGCTGCAGGTGGGTCACAAAGACCCAGCGAAGACTCAGGTGTGCCCCCCCCGCCGTGCTAAGCTCCCCACAGCAGTCACCACAGTCCCTTCCAGGACAGCCTGGTCACCCGAGAGGATCCTCCCGCCTGGCGGGCGGGAGGAGGCACCCGGCTTCAGACCCCCGGGTGATCTTTCTCTCAATAAACTTTCCTTTTTTCTTCAGATGATGTCTCCTGAGTCTTACTGTGACAAAAAGAATAATTATCATCTGATAAGTCTTGCAAAATCTTTTTGTGGGCAGCTCTTTGGTAACTCATTAATATGCCTGAGCTGCACGGCTTTGCCACTCAGATGGTTTTCAACTAGTTGCCTGAGCAAGAAATAAACCCTCTTTTACTTTTTTTTCCTATTAGAGCAATGTGATTTGGGGGTATATAATTTGGAAAGAGTCCAAAGGCAAGCAATACTGCTGTAGCAAAACTGTCTCTTCCTAGGGCCAGCAGGTGGCGTGGTGGCTAAGGCGCCGGACTACCACATGGCTGACCATGGTTCAAATCCCAGACCTGGTGGCTTGAAAATTATGCCAAGTGTGTGCGTGCCCAGGATCCCGGCAGGTGAATGGAGAAGGGACTGTGGCGTGGTCATCCCCCCTCTTCTTGCTTTCTCTCTGATAAGTGCATAAGCCTTATACCAAAAATTTACCTAAAAATAAATAAAAATAAAAACCTCAAAATTTACAATAAACCAAACAATGTATACTGAGCAACCTGAGACTTAGGATAGACGCTGTATGTCAACTTTAAATGTTGAAGATTTCCTTAAAGAGTCATGTGAGCGAAAGCTGTGACGATCTCTGCCATCAGAGCTGGGAGACGTGACTTCCCGCTGCCAGGGCACAGCGCAGTGGCCAGCAGCCGCTCGGGCGGGCCCTGCTCAGTCCCTGCCGCCCATCTGTACCCAGTGGGAGAGCCAGAGACAACGGGAGCTGGAGCTGCGTGCTGGCGGTCCGAGCTCTCCATTCTACCCCCTCGTGACCGCGGGCACCCACTCACACCTCTGCATCTGTGAGAGCAGTTCACCGCCTCAGGCTGAACAGGCCCTGTGAGGACGGACCACCAGCTCAAGTCTGATGACCGTGGCCACCGACTCCCTCCCTGGGCCTGGGCCTGCCACAGGGCTGTGGGAGGCTGCGCACGCTGACCGTGCCTGACCGTGCGGCGCTGAGCAGCCTTGGCATCGTGGGAGGTCTGGCACTCCACGGTGCGAAGCTGCACTGGAGGGAGGGGAGCGATCTATTTTCAGGAATTCTTACTTGTCATCTCTGGCTGATTTCAGGGGCCCAGCAATGTGAAGGAGAGTGAAAGCGCTTCATTTTGCAGTTAGGCCGGGTGTTTTGACCCACGGAAAAGAGACTTTGCCATGGATAAGAACGAGAACACACCAGCGAGTGCCCCGAGGGACGCCCGGGAGCAGGACGCTCCGCTGCGCGCTGCTCGGCAGGCCGGTTCTTACGACAGGCACGCTTGTCCCTCGGAGAGGAGGCGTCACTGTCCGCAAGGTGCCAGGCCTGTGTGCACACCCACTTGCCCACACACAGGTGTGCAGGAGGAGAGCACGCGTGCTACATGTCGACACCGGAAGGACACCCTACATGTAGGCACCTGGGGGCAGTTTCTGCGAAGGAGAACTTACTCCATCCGCGGAATGTTCTTTGGTATTTCTACCCTTTAATTGTCAGAGGGTGCGTCCACTCGTCAGACGGAAAGGCGGGGAAAGCACCTCCCCCCGTGGGGCGTGGTCACGCCTCACCCCTCCGCTTCTCCATCTGTTGGGATTTGGGGCATGCGTACACGGGTGCCTGGCATACTTTTCAAAAGCCACTGGCGCCAGAACTCAAGCTGAGTGGCCATGTGGGATCTGTCTCCCTTAACCGCTGGGCTGTGGGGTCAGCTGCCCCCTCCCCTTTGAACATATGCATTAAAAAAAAACAATGAACAAGACGAGGATGGACAGCACAACCACTACGGTACCAGAGCCGCGTGCGTAACATTCTAAAACATCCCATTTTCCTTTAACCTGTCACCAAGGTAACGCTCTCCAGTGGGAGTGCCGCTCAGTGCCGCTCGCTCCCAGGTCCGGCCAGACAGCGCCCCGCCCACTGCTCAGGCACGCAGATCCACAGGAAAGACTGACGGGCTGGCGAGGCCCTGGCCGCAGCTGGACACCGTCTTCTCCTTTTCTGAGGCTTCTGCAGGGCCTGCTGCCTGGGTGCACTCCCTCTGCCCCCCCCAGGTCCTCTCAGAGCTTCAAATCCTGGGGCCTGCAGGTACCAGCCCTCCACTCATTCAAGCAGTTCCCCGATTTAAAAAAACAAAAAACAAAAACTAGGGCGCCAGCCCTGCACCAGGACGCGTGAGCCCCAGGGTCATCGGGAGCCTCCGGACGCTCCCGGTCAACCCCGCAGAGCACCGTGTTCTGCGTGCCAGCAGCCTCGCCAGCGCTCCCCGAGCTCGGCCCGTGAGCCACGGTCACGTGTGGCAGTCGTGCCCACTCCTTTCTCTAGACTGGCTACTTAAAAACCCGTCTGTGTGGCCTTTACATATGAAGTTACTGAAGAGAGGCGGTCAGGGCTCGAGAGGCAGGCTGGCTCGGTCAAGGCCTGTCTGGTCACTCAGCTTCTCTGCCCTTCGGCTTCCCCCTTTATAATACAGGGACAGTGTGTGTGTGGGGCCAGCCACACAGTGTGCAAGGCCGGGGCACCAAGGGCAGCCGTGGACCTCCTCCTCCTGAGGCCCTAATGGACAGCACCTTCCTCCCAGATGGGGTGGGCCAGAGGC